TTCAATATGTGACCCAACAGTCTTCAGGACTTGTGGAATACGCCGGTCGGGTTACGTGAACGTGAATGATCTTTGATATTGTTGTACTTTAGTATTTCATGTGTTTGGTGGAGAAAATCATGTGAAAGATTTAGTTTCCAGTCATTTTAAATGTTTTCGAAGCAGTTATTTTTTTTCACTCATGAAAGACGACTAGGATGAAAAGCGTTGCAGTTGTAACCAACCCAAATTGTAGGTATAGGATGAGCAGTGGAACAGTGAACAGTTATACTTTAATGATGCTGAGATATTTGCAAAACTCCGGACCACAGGTGTCTGCGGTGGGGAACGAACGCGCTCACCACCACACCATGCGGATCCTCATCAGTACGAATATCATGTACTCCGAGTGGTTGAGATATCCTTCCATATAATTAGGAGCTACTGCATTTATAATCATGAGAACGTCGTAAGTGACTTGAATTGAAGATTAACTGAACATGTCTGAGTATGGACAGTGATGTTGAGCACGAACAATATTACCTATGCGCACATTGGGTGGTCAAAATGTGAGCTGTTCAGACAGAAGTGTTTTAGTGTTTAATCGATGAAGCATTATGAATTCAATAAACTTGACCAGTATGAGGTTTAGAAAGCACGTGTACCGACCTGTGGACTCTCCCACGCTCGCATAACTGGCTTAAGCTTAAGCGGAGTTGAACCACTGGTCCGATTAAAACCAAGTAAAGTCTTGTGTGTCCTGAATAGCGTTTGATGTTAGATTATAGTAATATTTAACTAAGCCGGGTGTGCGAGGAACTTGGTCTGTTATCCCGCCTTCGTTCGATAGGTCGAGTGCCGTCATGTAAGAATCCGAGTCCCAAACTAAAAAACCTTGCAACGACGTGATGGCGACTAACCTACTGTGAACTGTCAGATCCGTCGTAGCATAGCCGTCTCGAATTACTTATAGAAGGCTACGCTTTATATGAAGAAGACGACAAATTCGCAAGCAACTTCCAACTTCCCCGATTAACTCTAACACCTAATATTATAATATTATGAAATATTGGTAATATTTATGAAATTGGCTGAATCTAACTACTTTATGCAAAAAGATTCCGTTGATTGGAAGGATCACTGCCTCTTGATCTGCATTATATTAAATGTAAGTTTACAAAAGAGAGGTGGATGGCACAGTGGTAATGATGTCAGTCATCACGAGCACAGTGCTGGTTCGATTCTACTCTGGGCTCACCAAGTCCGTCATCCCTCTAAGTGTCGAGAAATTGGCCCCGGACTTGTCCAGTAGAAAACCGGTTATCTCAGTACACCAATGAGAAACGACTCAACCAGCACTCTAGCACATTCAAGATGGAATGAAAATCCTCAAGCAGCAGCAGAGCCATAAGTAGACGTTGCGAGACCTTCGTGGATGATGGATGCGAAGAAGCGAGTCGAATGTGGAAAATGCTGGGATACAGTAAACGAGAAGGTGGGTAGTATAAAATAAAAGAAAAGATAAAAATTTACAACCAAATGTTAGAACTGCCACTAGGGTAAGAAACTGGCTCAGAGAAAGTCAAACCGTGAGGCTCGGTTGGTGTAGTGGATGGCATATAATCCAGCGGAAAACATAATCGCGAACGCGAACTGTGCGTGTTGCTCCCAGTTTTACTCACACCTCAGTATCATTGTGGTTGTTTTTCACATAATATCTTGCCATGAAAAAAAGTAGTAGTTGCGAATAAAAGTTAAACAAATTTTGAAATCCTTTGTCTTGTAAAAATATGTTGTGACATTTGTAGATAAAAAACGAGTGTCTTGCTTTGCTGCAGCAATCCCTGACAGTCTAAGAAGAACCACATGGATTAGAATTATAAATTTCATTCGAGCCCTACTGTTCATAAACATTAAGGTTCTGAGAAATAAAGGTGTTCAGTAGACTTGTACTGGCTGGTGGATGGGAAATATCGGTACGATTCTTCACGAAACACAACAAGTCTTGGAATTTTCCACAGCCACGGAACGTATGATGGTGCCTTGCCTTTCGGCAAAAAACATTCTGCTCTCGAGTTCCTCGTATCCATCAATCGTGTTCTTATCCACGTCTGAAACAATCACTTGCAGTTTGAGATTTAAAAATGCACAGCAATAACGCGGGTGTGGCCCAGTGGCTAGACGCACCCTACGATACACATAGGACCGACCCCCGCGTACTAGGCTCACTAAGCCTTCCATCTCTCCGGGTTGGCGAAATTGGTATCAGACCTGTCTGGGAGAATAGCAGCACTGACTCTATACATCGGTACGCCACCGCCAGCCATTGTATAGGCCAGATATGTATTCCATCACCTTTAACGATTCTTAATGATGTCAAATAGATAGCGCATCCGTATAGATAGGACTCAGAGGTTGACCAACACCAAGTGCTTTATCCTTCTCCTTTTACTACAATGACGAAGACATTAAGTAAGGATATCGAAGTCTTATTTTTTTTCGAACAGCAGCGAAGAGATCTACCTCATGAAGAACGCGAACTATTCGGCGCTGTACTTCCGGTAATTTATGGTTATTAACGTGGCAACATGGACCACAGTAGTTTTGACTATTTGAGGAAAGTTTTTCTGCTATGACATGGTAAATAACGAAAGCTCTCCTTATTTCTTACGTCAAGACATAGAATGGAGTACAAGATATTGGATATAGCTGTAAACGCATAATATTTATGGTTAACGCTTAACCTTTATAAGGTGGTCGGGAAGGCGATCAAGTAAGGAGTAGAAAGGTACCCCATTTTTCCACCATTTTGTCACTATTTCTTGGACGTTTTCGTGTTCTCTTCATGACGTTGGCTTCCTCACGTTCGGTTTTGGATTCAGATTCTCTATGCTCATCTCATCTTAGATCCCCTCCTTATCTAAGAGAGCTCAAACCATATGTCACAATATTTTAGTGCGGCGAAGAGCAGTACTAAGCATGAAGTCTTTCGCTTAAGTCATCAGATTCTCCTCACAAAGTAGATCGGTTCCATTAGATTGCTGTCGAAACCGGAAACTATTGCATGTTGGCCGAATGAAGCTTGCAATGTTTAGCAGTGTCGGTGGCAAGGCAGAGCTGATTGTCGATATCCACTCCTACACATTCCGATTTCAGCTCTTCCGTGATATCTTTGGGAAAAAAGCTTAACTACCTAGAGATAAAGACCGCCTTCACCATGGAAGCAAAGGACATTTGAATAAAACAAGAGACGCGGTTCCCTACTTTAGAAAGTAGCTATTTTTAGGAGTGGTTCAACAAGCTTTTAGTCCCATCATCACTAAGTGATGAGGTAGAAGTATTCATCATTTAGAGAGCCGTTGGATGGAATGATTGTCAGATCGGGATGAAAATTAAGTGTGTTCTCGGTCAGCAAATACTGACCATCTTATATTTAGTGGTTTTGTCTCTTTTTATTCAACTTCGTCTATTATTCTGTGGGCCGATAATCGCCTAAGAGTTGGAAAGACTGCTTGTTGGGTTTTTAAATCAGCCGTCAACTATGAATCACGGATGTAAATGGTAAATGTCTTTAATTCCCCGGTTTTTTGGCATTACAGATATTGTAGATAACGATTAAGTTTCAGAGTTTTTCGTAAGCATTTCTAACGGTAATCGTATCCCTCAAGCTATCCAATACAGTGAAAATATCTATTTTACGTTTATTTTGTGGTTCTGAATCCGTGAAAGATCCGATCGTTGTTACTGTCGCCCTATCACAACGTCTCCTTGACCGCCAATAACAATCCGCTGTTTAAAATCCATTTTAGAAGAGCATCAATGCTGTCACAGAAGAGAGGTTGCAGAGCAATAACAACGGCAAGACGGGTGACATATGCACGTCTATTGTCTTGTGTGCATTTCATGTAGCACATTATTTCACGTAGAACATCTACAGTCTTATCAAAAACATGACGTAAGAGTTGCGATCAAAAGTTCAAGCCTTGATAATATTGCATAAAACCTAATACTACCAAAAGACTGAAGATTGGGAAGGAAGAAATATTTGTGGTCAGACACTGCACCATCAACCTTGCCTTTGACAGCGATTCTGTCGCGTGGGTTAAAGATTTCAGAACCTTAAAACTTTAAAAGGACCAAGGAAAAATAATCCTTGACGCGACAAATAATTCAATCTGGAAGAAAAGCTAAAAATAGCTCCGCGATTGCTCGACCCTGCACTTGAATTACTAACGCACATTACATTTTTGACTTATGGGCTGTTAGACAAACGGAGAATACTCTAAAGCATGAAGTACTGAATCCTTCAGAAAAGATGTGATAGAGAAACTTAGTGATGAATAAGCGCGTCAAGAAATTCGCTCAAGAAAAAAACCACAGGGCGCTTGAACGATGTCTTTTTAAATTCAATCGGAACTCATAACGTCTAGCAGGAATGCGCAGCTCAGATATTTCGAGATCCAAGAAAATATACATCAATAACAAAACACAGATAGGCGGTCATATAGGAAGAAGAAGACGAAAGATTGATGAAAATAACAGTGGAGTGCAATTCAAGCGAATGCAAACGTACTCTCGGAAGACTACCAAAACGATGAGCAGGCGTGTTCTTGGCTAATGTCAACCATCTACCCTCGCAGATGGCAACTATTCCAGTATTACGGAATGGGAGTCGCGGACGTCACCATGTTCGAAGCAGACCATCATCACGGACAATGATTGCGCGAGAGAGAAACGAAGGAAAATTATGGTGGGACCCGCTCAACCAGTGAAGGCGGGCCATTCAGGTGCCCAAATAAGCAAGTGAGAAGGCAGAACGAATGATAATGGATTGACACGGTTCTCATGAAGACCACATCCTTTCTCAAATCCTCAATCTCATCCTCTTTCTAGTTAAATATTCAGAAAGCAGAGCCTTCGCGAGAGAACGCCGAAGCGGAATCCTCTAGGATTAGCTATGGCACGCAGCATCAAGAGAACTTCGCAGTGTGCTACTTTACCGATATCTAATGTCCAAACTTTCACTCACCACGTTCTCTGCCGATGATCTCCCACACACTTTTCTTCAAACTTCGAAGCAAGAAGTACGTCTCCACATCGCCCTAATTAGGAGGATATGATTAATGCACTGAACTAAACAAAATACTATTGTTGCGGTACCATCGAACAACACAAACCTTTCCTTTGATGTGAATTCGTCCACGTCTTTCAAACTCAAAACGACCAGTTTCCATGGCATATTTATAGGTCTATAAAAGTGTGGAAACGCTGGAGCATTTAAGTCAAACAAATCGAGAACCAATTGTGAAATTTTTTTAAATTTTATTTTATCTGTCTTCATGTCTACTGTGCGGATCCCATCACTTCTCTCATTAGTTTCGTTTCCTCGCATCCATTGTTCAGGAAGGCCTTCCAACTTTACGTGTGGCTTCGGTTACTTCTTTAGGATTTCCATTTCATTTTGAATGTCATAGAATGCTGGTCAAGTAATTCTCTTTGGAGTCCTGAGATAGCCCGGCTGGAGCACTTCCAGCTGGATTACAAAGAGTGATTTTTTCTCAGACAACTCTGGTACCAATTTCCCGACGCTGAAGGGATGAGACGCTTTGTTGGCCCGGAGCGGAATCGAAATAGCACCATGCTTGTGATGACGAACACAGCTGCCACAGTCCCCTAATTAGCTATCCGTTGCTATCCGTCCGCTAATTAATTTAATTATGGAATAGTCGCTAGACGTAATACGTTTGTGTCGTCAATGTGGAACTCAATAGGACAGGTAATACCTTATCGCTGCATTGTATCTTTCCGACCGCACCATTCAACTCCAGCGATGATGCCATGCTAACCGTATCACCAAACAAACAGTATCTGAAAGATGTTGTTGGTCTATTTTTGTTTCCGGATGCAATAATTATAGATATTTGAAGGTATTACACTCTACCTGGGTAATTTAACGGCAACAACACCTGCCACTAACGGTCCCGAATTGATACCGACACGAATTTCAATCGGTTTCTTATTGATAGGTTCGACTACTGATCGAGCTTCCCACAGCATACCTTGATAAACATTATTGTTTTCAATGATTCCGAAATATTTGCAAAACTCCGGACCACAGGTGTCTCCTGTGGGGGGCGAACGCGCCACTACCCTCTCCAGGGGCTAATGTATTCAACATTTCACTATGCGACTCCTTTGTTTTTCCTGTCTCTCAGCTAGTTTTTTTCAGAAGTTATGTTTCAAAACATATTCTGCCATTAAAAAGAGTAGGCAGCAAATAATAATTTAAAATTGCAATTATAACGACCCTCACAACGGTTTACCGCCTCATCGTGGTTGGAAGGTGTTCCTGGGTGTCGGACTGCGATGTACAGCGGTTGGATTCGTCCCTCCGGCAGGATCTCCCAAGCTGAGAGGGAGTCCGGTGTTTCTATCAGGAAGCCTAGCTAAGAGTAAACCATAATACCAGGATCCACCATCGTCTTGGTATTGAAGTCCCATGGTGGTAAATCTCTCTCTGATCCACAAGGGCTTCGACTGCCTATCGTGGTGACGACCTAGGGCAGACTTTGGCCAGACTGTCCTCAGGATTCCAGGAGACCACAACGGCTTAACCAGCAAATCTCCGAAAAATGGTGATTATTCTGGGGGCCGCACAACTAGTGATGACGGCCGTTCAAGCATCAAGTATCGAGTATTATAACGACGGCCCCAGCTTAACTAGGTTCACTACCGATTTGGGCTCTCCAGATCATTCTCGTTGACGGATACTTGCTGATGGCACTGATCGATAGAAAACTAGCTCGAGACAGCCGAAACGAAGGACCGGAATGGTGTGCTGGTGAACGTGTTAGCTCCCGGTAAGGGTAATAACTCGTTCGTTCCCACCGCAGACACCTGCGATCCGGAGTTTTGCAAATATTTCAGCATTATAGAGGTTATATCTGAGCACCATTGAAGTTATATTTCACAACATACTCTGCCATTCAAAAGAGCAGGCAGTAAATAATAGGTTAAAATAATTATTTTTGTTGCTTTTTTTTGACGTTTTGATCAATAAGTATCGTTTAATGACGAAAATCGTTAAATACTGGAGTTCGCTTACATATGCGTGGATTCTATAGACGACAATCGTTCCAAACCATATGTATAATAAGAACTATTGGAGAGGCACAAAGTTTTCTTTTTCATGTTTCATGGAAATTAGAAAATGAGAACGTGACATCCATTCAGCCATTAACAATCGTTTAATTTACGAATGATATTCAGGACAGGAAGTAGAATTAATTTGCAATTTGTTACGATGAGCGTGTTTGGACGTACGGAGCACAGGCATTGAGATGCCATTCAATAATACCCACAAGCCTACAGGTTGAGGCCTACATTAGACGGACCAGGCTTCCGTTCTATCTGCTATCGTGAAACTGGTACTAGACTTGTTTAAGAAGACCACACGCCGAAATACTGGTGACTGCCCGTGGCGATGACCTGGAAGCATCCAACCACAGCTGTCCCATATTCAGGGGAGAGTATACTCGACCATCGTTCAACGACTTGCATAGAAAGGGCGGAAATCTTCAAGCAGCAGCTGCAACTCACACGCAGAAGTTCGAAGATCTTCCTGTATAGCAACAGATACGAGGAAACGATTCGAATGAAAAGATAGCAACACAAAATAAATATATTGACTGATCATATAATAAAAAATGAGTGTATCAATAAAAAAGGAGCTTACCGATGGCTAAATGACAAATAATTTCTGCATGTTCAGGTATCTGTTCCGGAATTCCGCCAACTGTCAGGTAACTATCGCCGACGGTCTCCACCTTGTAGGCCTAGAAAAAATTTTGTCGTTGATTTTCAAAAGAAAGTTCAGGGGTTATAGGTTGGAGGTTTAGAAGTCTAGACAAAATTCCTCAGTCGGTGATAAAAAGGGAAGAGTGGCTGTTATTTTTTAACTGCAAACATGAAGTCATTTTTTGTCATTTGCAACAGAAAGAAATAATAACTGCCTAATTCCAGCTAAACTGTGTTACACTAGCTGTACTACAAATAACAACTTCTTGAGCATCTCCAGCTGGCAGATAATTACTCAAAGCTCGGAAGACTTGCATTGCTGTTGTCGTAGGGGCCATTTCATGAAGCGATTGGGAGAAATTCGTCATTTCTACGGTAAATGTATTTAAAACCTATTCGTAAAATAACCAACGATAGAATGCAAAGTCATCAATTTATTAAGTAAGTGAAGCTATAGAGGTGTCTAATGGAAATTGCTCTTAAAGGTGGACTATTTTGAATGGTTGAAAGTCAAAATTTTAGAGCAGTTAATGAAATAGTTAATAGGAAGCAAGGTACTGGTCCGACCTATTTTCCGAACACTCTCCTCCAATCCACCTGAGAACATCTTAGCTCGCTTATCTTCAAGATTGCAAGGAGAATCAAATCGACCAGCATTCTACGACATTCATAAGGAAGCGACGAAATGCAGCCGAAACAACTCGTGAAATGTTCAAAAACCTTTGTGGATGATGAATGCGAGGAAAACGAATCGAATGCAAGAAGTCCTGGGGTCCGCACAGCACAGAGACGGGTCGTGTAGTGATAATACCTGAAGTCGAAATCCAAGAAGAAACTAGCGTCTGGCCGCAGTTGGGCCAATTTGCACGAAAAGTTTCGGTGACAAGATGGTATGTTCGCTTTCAGTTATGAGGTTAGTTACTACCTTTAGCGAAAACATAGGACCGAGAAAAACCTACCGAGAACTGGCTTCCATTCTTAAACATCCAAATAAAGCTCTCAGTAAGTGGCTATTTAACAAAATGGTATCGCAAGCCAAGTAGTAAAAACATTCTAGTTCACTGCCTCTCCTCTCATCCTTCACACATAAAAAAGCACTTATCAAAAATATGTATCGTACGGCTAAAAATGTGTGTACAGGAGAAGAGGAGAGGAAGGAATCGCGAAACCTGGCACGAAAAATTGCCATTTCCAATGGCTACGAAGTAGAAGCATTCTGGCGCCCTATTTCAAAATGGGCTAGAGGAAAACATTGGGTAGTTTCCCAAAATAATATTTCAGACGAAAGTAAGATCCCCTTTAGGCTGCCCTTCATATCAAATGAAGTAAGTCACGCCATTAAAAAGTGCTTTAAAAAAAGTGGTCTTGAAAATTATGTAACTATTGCTGACATCCCACCCAATACCCTACGCCGCCAGTTAGTTCGAAACCGTCTCTATGATTGTTTGTGCAGCTCAGAAAACTGTATGATCTGTCCTCACGGGAGAGACGGGGATTGCATGAGTTTAGGTATAACATACTTGATCTCATGTAATGCATGCGGCGAGGAATATATCGGGGAAACGGGTAGACCACTTTGTGTCCGCATAAAAGAACATCTAGATGGGAAAGCTAAAATCCGTTTAAACACCCCTCTAGGTACGCATAGGGCACAAAAGCACAACGGCGATGATTTTGAAGTGAATGTGCGGATACTAGCGCAGGTGTCAAAAACATCAACGCGCAAAACTCTTGAGGCGTTTTGGATAAATTTCAAAAATCCAAAGATGAACCGGAAGGACGAATGCCTCACTATCACGCGTGACCTGGCGCCCTATTTCAAAATGATATTTTGACCCCGGGGCGTGTCTTGCTCGCGTAAACTACGTGTCGGCCAGTCCCGCACATAACATCACGGTGACTGACCTTTCTGTTCAATATGGCGTCTATTTGAAAGTTTGATCTTCATTAATACTTTAACCTTCTTTTCCACCGAATAATAAAAAGTATTCTAACATAAAGTACGTCCAGGCTCTGAGGAAGGCGAAGTCGCCGAAACGTCAGCCATCGTTCAATAACATCAAAAACAACGACAACGACAACGACAACGAAGATCTGTACCAACCTCGCGTCAGCTTAAGAAGTTCAGTTTATAAGATCACATAAATAAATATATCAACTATCTATGCCGAGGTTCATAGAAAGTCGGTCTTTCGAGTTATTAAAACATAGGACCGTTTTTACCCATATAGAAATCGAAAAATCGAATGGCTATGAAGTAGAAGAACACGCTAGATGAATGAAAATGTCAGGTAAGATCCTTTGAAAAACAGTGAAACGTGGGCGGAAACCATCAATAAAAGGTGGACCATGAAGAGGTTGATTTTATGAACAGACGTACTCTGCGGTCTTCACGAAAAACGATGAGGAAAACTGGGAAGGCTATCGAGTATAAAGGCGCTTGATTATCTACGTATTTTAATAAACCACACGATTAACTAGTACCAGTCTCAACTCATTTTGTTGTGGTTTCATCTATTATCCTCGTTTAATTAAAAATTCATCTGAACCCTTACATTAAGAGCCTTCCTCTTTATGTATTAACCTGACTGAACGCCATAAAAGAGGAAAAAGGATAAAGCTCTCGGCGTTGATCAATCCCTGAGAGATATGCTATGCATTCGACTTCATTAAGCATCGTTAGAGGTTACTGAATGCATATCTGGCCTTTCGCGGTGGTCTGCCGATGTATCGAGCCAGTGCTGCTATCTTCCCAGACAGACAAGTCCGGTACCAATTTCCCGAAGCCGGAGGGATGGAAGGCTTGGTGAGCCATGGAAGCGGCGAGCGATTCCACGTGTTTGCCGCAGTGCGCCAAACGGGCTCTGTCAACCGAACACAATAAGCAGCGAAATTTCCCGAAATGCCATAATTTGCATTGATGCTGCATTTACGGTTCAATTGAACGTTTTGCTTCCATACTGCTTACTAGGATACTTGAGTGGTTCACCTTAACGACCTTTGTGAGGATTTTGCCAGAATTTCTATATAACCTATGTTTCGCCGTCTGTGCAAGTTTTAATTTTTTGAGGTCTTAAACTAATGATGCACGCGTAATCGTAACCACAAGTATTCACAGAAGTTTTTGGAATGCAGAAAGATTCTTGACTTATCAGCAGGTTTCCTCGACGACAGAGTGAACGTGTCATAGATTTAGTCTTAAATGGACATTCTGATGTAAATGCCGGTTTTCTTCTCAGCCCGAATGGTTCCGTCGCAAGACGGACCTAATGTTTGTTAAGCAGGAACGTTCCATGATTATGAGATACGGTAAGCCTTAGAGTGAGACCACTTTTGCTCTCGAATTTATTAGAACATATCCGACGTTTATAGCGATTTCGATTTCTTCAGAACCGTATTCCTCGTCATTCATACACCCTCAACACGTCTTATTCATGTGGGTGGTGGTAAAATCTTTCTGTTTAACTGTTAAGAGTGTGACCAACAGTTTGATAGTTTGAACAGTTTGAGTGTGATCATATTTGTATTAAGCTTGATTTTTTAGATATCGAGAAAAAATCGCCCAGCTTTGTGCTATCAACTATTTGCTCGGTATAAATGAAATATTGATCAATAATCTCAGTGCATTTTCCTCAATGTACACATCATCTCTCCTACAACCCTTACTCGCAGGCGTCAAAGGCTATTCAGGAGATTTACAAGTAGCCTTTCATTCTCTGATACAACGTCCACAAAATATAGTTACAAACGACTGCAGGCAGGATGCGTTAGAACACTGGCTGGAGGGTGTCCTGCAAAATACACATGGTTGTTCGTTCGATCTTGTGCTCAGGGTAAACCAAGTACCGAGTCCTTCTTTGTCCGAAAATTATTCCCAAGCCTATCTGGAATGATACAAACACTGAGTTGATGCGTTCGTAGACCCCCAAAATGGATTGTATAGGCCAGTACCAGTACGCTGTGAGTCACCTCCACGGTGTTGCAAATAGAATTGAAGGCATTGAACATCGCTATCACACAACGATTCATCACATATTATCAGAATATCCAGCGATTACTTTTTCCGAGGGCTCACATGTTACCCACTGCGACACAGAGGCCGTCCATTTGCTTTTCTCTCAGCCAATTTTTCACCTTAGTAGCAGTGCCATCAGTAATAGTTGTCGAGCCGATATGGAGTAAAATACAGTTGATATAAAATAGTTATATGTTCCGTAGAACATATAGGAATGGGTCATGCGCACCCAAGTAAGAAAATACTTCCGAAACCTATGACTAAGTCAAAGTATACGCGAGATTCTTGAAGCGTTTTCTTTTCTCGAAAATCATGTAGCGCTAATATCCATTTTCCCAATACTTATATCTAGCAAGTACTTACTAGAATCGATACCTTGTGCATAATAACTAATCGGTCAAATCGATGAAACAAATCGTTGAGCAGCTGTACGACATCCTTCGGATGACAATGTACTAGAATAGATTGGAAATCGGGAATATCGGAGAACATCACCGTTGTATTTTCGAATTCGCCTGAAATCAAACAAAAATGTCCAACAAAAGCTTAGAAGATTGCCTTTCTGCCCTAGTGATTTGTCCAAGACAGATGAAAAAGCGGAAAAAAAATTAGTTCTGTTCTTGGAACAGTTTCTGATTTCCTGAGTTGTTTAGTAGGACTGGAATGAACACTAGTCCTTTAAGTAGAAGTGTTAGCTGCGTAGTACGGTAGTATTACGATAGTGTAATGTCTCGATTAATTATGTAAATGTTTCATATGAAATAACTTCACTCACAAGCATGAACTTGCTTGTTGTTCATGATATGATCTGCTATCAAAGGCGGCAACATGTCCTTGAGAATCGAATCTGAATTTTCATGGTTTGGAAGCAAATCAGTGCCTGATCGATTGGAATCGATACGAACCTGTTTTTCTCTTTTCAACCTCTAAGTCTTTGGCCATCATTTCCAGCTGCTCGTTGTTCTCTTCGAGTTGAAGACTTAAATTGGTAATAGATCGGAAATGTGAACGGAAATCTTTTGGACTTAAGCGTCTACATCTAGGTGGAAGAACTTAGAACGTTCTAAAAACGCTTCCTGAATTTTCAGGAGATTGTAAATGGCTTAACCAGCAATAACTTGTCAGTATTGGGGCGAAAATCTTCAAACAAGCAAGAATAGAGGAAATTTGAGGCCTTAATGACCACACTATCGTGTCCAGAAGTCTAGCTCAGTTCAGAGTGCCCACAACGTGGAGTAGAATTCTTCGTAGTACGATTTGACAAAGTTGATAGTCTAACAACTTTTATTTGAAGATGCTTATCGTAGATGCTCACTGGTCATTTTGATTTTAGAGGACTTGAACGAATTCACATGAAAGGAAGAGCCGTCATCTGCTCAGAGTAACTGATAAAGGCCAGATATTCCCCGTGCAGTACTAACACAGTGCCCAATATAATCATTACTAGCCAGTGGATTTTTTTATTACTATTCCTAACAAAAATTGCAAATCCTTACTTCTAATCTAAAGCCATTTCATAAAAAGATGGTTTTATGGTATGAAAAGTTGTTTCTCGTTCACCTCTGTTTTCTACTTCATGTTTCCTTTATAGTAAAAGTGTAATACTAATACAGGATGTGGTTAACTACGCCAATAACCGATTCGATCGATATCGCTTGACTCACTTCAGCTCGACGTCGGTGAGGCGTTGCTGATTGAGAAGAATAAGGAATCTGGTGGCATCGTGCAGTGGCATAGCAGTCAGTCGCATACCGTATTCTACCAGTTCAGAAATGCACGTCACGTAGGGCGAGCAGACGTAGATGAGGCTCTTAGAAGAGGAATAGAATATAACTACATCAACGTTAAATCAGAAAGAAGAAAGCCAGGACGAAAACTTGAAACGAAAACGAAAATGCTAAAAATAATAAAAAAGCAAATGAATGAACTGATCATACCACTTTATCATTTAACATTCAACATTAGCTGATTTATCTACTTCATTTAAACACAGTGCATCATTTTTCCTACATCTTTCAAAATGTCGACTTATGGACCTGTATGGTGCGGTGGTGAGCTGGTTACGCCTGGAAAGGGTAATGGCGTGTTCAATTACCACCGCAAACCTCTGTGGTCTGGAATTTTGCAAATATCTCAGCATCATAGTGATTGTCGACATACTAGCCAACGAGGGTGATTCAATCCGACAGTCATTAAGATATCTCCCAGCGGTTTATCGCTTTAACGTGGCACGGTGATGTTCCTGTATGTCGGGCTTCAACATACAAAGGGGATTTATCTCTCTAGGACAGCCTCCCAAGTTGAGGAGTCCAACGTTTCCATCCTGAACTGCAGCTAGGAGTAAATCAATACCAGGTAGTACCGTCGTTCAGGTATCAAACTAGTCACATAGAGGCGCAATTCCCTCTGACCCACAACAGCGGCGAGCGCCTGGGGTGGCGACGACCTGAGGAAGGCTTTGGCTAAGCCCACCTCAGCACTGCAGAGAGCCACAATGGCTTAACCGACAAAATTACCACCCTAGTACTCCGCACCCTAAACTCTCCCGCCTACGACGTCAGGCGGTGAGACAACCAGTGAGAGGTGATCAAATCTCGGGTTGCATGGAGATTGCTTCATGCTGTGCATATATAACGTTTCCTTCATTTCACATATAACGTCAGAGTAGTTTCTTCAGACACCAAGCTTTGCGCTGTTCTTGAGGATCGCACCGATTTCCACATTATCGCCATACAACAGACGAATAGCAGGAAGACCACCAACCAGATGATGAAACTTTTGTCATTCGTGGAGAATTTCCGTTAAAAAATGTCGGAGACGTTAGCTTTGTCTTATATTGATCCACTTTCCATTTAGTCACCTCATACGAAATCCTATCACCGCGCTTGGCCATTTTTGCCTCCAACTTGGGCGTCGAAAAAAGTCACTATCATCAACTATTACTTTACCAACTAGTAGAGCTGATGGCAGCCAATTGAATGCGTTTTACAATCAAATGAAAGAATAATCTACATCGAGAAGTCCTTCTAAAATTTCTTTGTTGCGAACTTTAACTCCAGATTAAGGACGCGCAACAAAAGTGAATACAGGATTGGGAAATTTGGAATAGCAGAAGGAAATGGGAGTAGAAAACGTCTTGTAGGACTCCTGTCCGCAGAAAGTTTCTTTCTTGGGAATTCCTTTTCGAGAAGAGAGAAAATCGTCAGTGGACATAGGAGTCTCGCAATGGCGCGACTCATGCGAAGATCGATCATATTCTTACTCACGGGGAATGGAGACTCTTTTACATCTCAGTCGGATCTAGCCTCTGTGCTGGATCTGATCACCGGCTTTTTCGTGCGAAGACTCGATTTACCACTAAGCTGGAAAAAAACTTTGCTAACGTCCAAAAACAAAGCAAGTTGTATGTATGAAAAGGATATTCTAAACAAAATCTTCTCCTCATATGAATGGGAAATAAATGAAGATCAGACCGAAGACTATGCGCACCTTGTCGGAGGTCTTAAAACTTGTACCGAACTCAGTTCATCAAGTAAGAAGTTAAGAAGAAGAAGAACGGTGGTGTATCGACTCGGATCATCGGCTCTGATGAAAACGGAGACGTGGAAGCGTTAGGCGAAATAAATCTATTTACCAAATTCGTAAGGGCTCGTGTGGCGCGGTGGTCGGAGACGCCTTGCAACACACACGTGGAATCGATTCCCGTGCCCCTGGCTCACAAAACCCTCCATTTCTCCGGGGTCGGCAAATTGGTGCCAGACTTATTTGGGAGGATAACAGCACTGGCTCGATACATCAGTAGGCCACCGCGAGTCATTGTAAAGGCCGGATATGCCTCCAATCACCTCCAAACGATGCTTAATGAAGTCGAATGCATGGCGCATCTCTCGGGGATTAATCAACGCCGAGAGCTTTAGCTTCATCCGTTTACCAACCTCGCGTAAGCTTATCAAAGAAAGAATACAATCTGGATGGTTCTTTGATTACATAGACCAGCTCGTACGTATACTTTGAGCGTTCAACGAACATGGAGAATAATGTGAAGGAGTAATTAGAGAGAAGAAGGAGAGCAGCTTGGGCCGCATTCGGGCCTCTCAAAGAAGCTACCGACCAAGCAACGGACTGAAGATCCACGCTCAGCTTCTCGATTCAACAGTTCTCTCAGCACTCTGTTATGCAGCAGAGAGGTAGTCCAATATTTCAACCATGTCAAGAAATCTGCGCACTACCCACAGGGCATTTGAACGGTGTCTACTGAAACATAACCGACACACTACATAGCCGGAATACGAAGCTATGGTCTTGAAATCGGTCTCATCCTCGGGATCCAAGAGAATATACATTGATAGCGAAACACACAGTGGCAGGTCACATTATAAGAAGAACAGACGACAGATGGAAGATAAGAATAGTGGAGTGGATTCTGAGAAAATACAAGCGTCTCCTTGGAAGACCACCGAAACGATGGGCGGAACTGTTCATGCCTAACGTCAACCATCTATACTCGCAAATGGCTATGATTTCAGGATTAGGAAGTCGTCAGGCGGACGTCACCATGTTTGGTCTAGCATTTAAGGCAAGCCATCGAAGAATCTAAGTACGTATTATTAGGTATTCTTAAGACGACCACAATGTTGCTGAGATATTTGCAAAACTCTGGACCGCAGGTTTCTATGGTGGGGAACGAACGCGCTATTGTCCTTTCCGGGGAGTAACGCGTTCACCACCACACCATGCGGGTCCTTTGTTTCGCCTGTCTCTCAGCTATTTCTATCGATATTTGCCACAGCAATCACCCGTCGGCCAGAGTTTTGCAAATATCTCCAACGTTGTGGTTGTATTTCGCTTAGTACCCTGCCGCGAAATTATAGTAGGCAGAAAATAAAAAGGTATAACATATTATTAAGACGATCTCAAATAAATAAATTATGGAGGGATCAGAACGATGTCTACTAGATCGGTAAATTAATTTAATAAACGAAGAAATGGACCGAGAATGTAAGGAAGGCATTAAAAACGAACAAACGTAGAATAGTATAAAAGGATAGCACAAAAGCATAACAAACATAGAACATAAGACCATTAAAACATGAAAGAAAGTCAACACAAAGCATGCCTACACACTACACATAGAAAGCGGCTACATTACGAAGTGGTATAGAAAGCCAAGTAGTAAAAACATCCTGGTTCATTACCTCTCCTCTCACCCCTCTCACACGAAAAGGGCGCTTGTAAGAAACATGTATCGAACAACTACAAGCGTGTGCACAGGAAGACAGCAGAGAAAGGAGCCCTAAACTTGGCGCGACAAATAGCCATTTTTAATGATTACGAAACTGTAGCTCGAAATAGGTGTAGAGGAAACCACAGGTGCCCCAACGATAACTTTAGCGACAACAAGGTCTCGTTTATACTGCTCTTCATTTCAAATCAAGTAAGTGCAGCTATAAAACGCTGTTTAAGAAGGGCCAATCTAGAGAATTCGGTAACGATAATCGAAATACCACCGAGTAATCTAAGACGCCAGCTAGTTCGTAACCACCTATACGACCGTCTATGTGCAACGCAAAATTGCATAATTTGTTCCAATGGTAGAGACGGTGACTGCATGAGTTCGGGCACAGTCTATCTGTTCTCTTGTAAAGCGTGCGGAGACGAATACGTTGGCGAAACGGGTAGACCACTCTGCGTACGTATAAAGGAACACCTAGTCGACAAGCACAAGCCAAATACTCCACTAGGCACGCATAGAACGCAGAGACATAACGGAGAAGATTTTGAAGTAAGGGTTACGATCCCCGCTCAAGAATCGAGAGCACAAGCGCGAAAACTCTAGGGGCATTCTGGATTAATTCCAAGAAACTGAAAATGAACCGCAGGGAGGAATGCCTCATTATCACGGGTAATATTGGACAGTACTTAGGCCTGTTACTCTGAAGGTCGGGGCACATTACGCTTCCATGTGATCTTTGCGCGGTTGGTCCCCACATCATATAGTCAGTAAAAGGCTCATGGCAAGTGGTGAGTGTGCAGAGCTATGTTAAATGTGGTTGAAATCTTGGTTTAGCGTTTTCTCCGTGTGGTTATGGAGGTTTCGCCGATAGATTGAAGTCAACTTGACCTTTCCAGGCTATGAAGAAGACGAAATCCGCCGGAACTCAGCTGTCCGTAAATAAAGAAATAAAGTAGCACCTCGTGTTTGCTGAACAGAAGTAGAAAGAATTATTCAATCAATGCCGAGGTTAATAGAAAGTCGGACTTGGGAGTTACAAAGTATAGCCGTTCAAAAATCTCTTCCAAGTGGTTATGTTCTCATGACAAGTTTTTGAGGTTCACTCAGCTTTCTTTAACACTATAGTCATAACATAAACCCGCGTTTGATACGCTCCAAAATGGTTGGCGACGCGCGATACGGTGTTCTTCCTCGCTTACTCGATTTGCCATCCGTGAAGACAATAGAGTGTCCGAGAATGCGTTAACGTGAGGAGACTGAGGCATTTGTCAGAGATGGCGGGTGTTCGGTAACGAGTGGATAACCAGACGACCAAGTACCGCAGTGGCAGCGGTGGGTGGGGTCCTTTCGCGAAAGCCGGAGAGATGTGTAGGTGCAGGGCGTTTCAGCAGATGTAGATTAAAACTTAAATATGACGAGTATGCATTAGAATATTGGTTAACTCTGCGAACCCAAAGAGAAAGTAACGATATACGACTTCGAGGTAAAAAGATAGGCAGTGCTTGTTGACCCTAGAA